ACTTCGGTCCAGATATCTTTTGCTGAGCCCTAAAACAATTAGCTTCAGTTAAAGGGATCTTTCGGTGTGCACTATTGACCCACACTCAAATTTTAAACTTTAAGATTGGAGATCTTTATTAAAAACTAGAGAAATTGGTCCTTTCTGAATCGGCGGCAGCACTGAACACCAAGTGAAGCAGCACTGGTCAAAGCAATGGAAAAATTCGATGGCTGGAAAACCAGGGTGTAAATTGCAATTAGTCAACTTACTAAATAATATAGGGTGTTGTTCTTTGAAGGAATTTATTAATGGAACAGGTATTTTTTGTTTAAAGCAAAAACTGGAATTGGAAAATTTCCTTGCAGTTGAGCCACTTCGCAAGAGTGCGATAATGTTGCTAATTTGGAGGAAAAGAACGTAGATGCATTACACGGGAAGCAAAAAATTTGCCTTCCGGTTTTGCTGTTGGCCGAAATCATTGTCGTTGTGGTGGTTCCCTCTGGTACCTTCCGCTCCTCAAAAATTCCTATGGTTTTTTTTTCAGCAAACGAATCCACTCATCATGCTACTCCGCACACAAAATGAATATCTGGCGGATTTTTTTTCAAACTCACTTTATTCCCCTTTATCTCGTCACTTGAACAGGCCTAAGCTTGCTTTCTGAGCGGAATTTAGGTGAAAAAAAATCTTACCAGAAGCTTTTTAATATAACGATTTTCTAGTCCCTTCACCCTACAATCTTCAGTTTTCCCTTTGTATCCACCCTCTCGTCCAATTTTTTTACTCTTCGCCAGCCTCAAGCAATTACGGGAACTAACACTTGCGGAAGAGAAAGAAAACGGAAGGCACAAACACCCTGTACATTTTGCAGGAAATGAGGGTTTTTTTGAGAGGGGGCTCGGAAGTAGTGGAACGGAAATTGAGAACACTGAGACATGTTGCAGGTTTGCTGCATGGAAAGAAAACAAATTATCTTGCGTTATCTAAATTGGCTTCGCATGCCGTTCCGAACTTTGAAAACAGTTGCATTTGACCAATTAGGTACGAGATACTTTCCTTGGATTATAGTACTGGGGGGTGGGGGGGAGGGGTGGCGTTTAGAGTTTAAAAGAAAATAGAGGACTTTATGGAAGAAAAGTATAAGAAAAGTGAATAAGAAGGTCCAGTGAGACAAAGAATCCTACAATTGAGAGAAATGAAGAGATTCTTAGCGGACTCTACCCTGTGACCGAGTGTAACTTTTGTCTAAATCCGGGAATAAAAATTTTTGCCTCGAAATGAGGATTTTGATTAA